TCAGGACCACCATGCCCAACATTTTTGCTTGGGTTTGGCTGCATCGTGGCATGGGACAGCTCGGGGTCCACTCTTTCGCCAAGTCTCAGCTTTGCTGATACCCTGCTTGGGGCACCTTTAGTATTCGCCGGCCCTTGGGAGCCCGTAGGCTTATTTTTTGCCACTTGTTTACCCTTGCGCTTACGCACTGCAGTGCTCGCGGCATGGGCTATAGCCCTTTGCCGCGCTTTCGCGCGACCTGCAGGCGTTTTTGGTGGTTGTACCACTCCGGCTGTCGTAGATGACATGTCTTGGTCCAGATGGTCCAGCCTTTGGTTGACCGTCTGGAGAGTATTGTCGAACCTCTCCAGGTAACTTCTGATGGCAGGGTCCAATTGCGGGGCTATTGGGGTATTCCCAGCAGTATTTTGCGAAATTAGAGGTACGTTGGAAGGGGCGTCCCTCTGGGCCAGGGGGACTCCTTCAACATGCTGGTTCCCCTGCTCAGGTTCAGATTAGCGGGCCATTGTAGCTGTAAGACCAGTAGGTCAAAGATTCTCCTGATGAAGGGTAGACACTAAATCAGCCCTCCTTCTAGCGCCAAACTGTTGATGCTCAGTTTAAGCACCAACGAATTCTCACGTGTATAACGTTGATTGGCCGCTCAATACACATGAAAAAGAGATATATATGAAAGCGAAATAAATGTAAAGGGAGTTTTTTAAGTGGTTCGGATGCTAAGGTAGCATATCCTACGTCCACTGATTTGTATTGATGTTAGTGCGTGTCAGGTCACGGTCGCGAGCTGACTTACATAAGATGAGAAAGTCAAAAATGATTACAGGAGAGAGAGAGTGATTTCTTTCTTTTTGTTGTATGAAAGAATGGCCGAATCCCCTTAATGAAGGGGTCTTCTTCATTTTATATCAGACTAAAGCGTATAATCATCACTAAATCCATGGTTTGGTGTGATTGTCAGGATGTGATCTGGCTTTACGTCCCTTTTCCCTTTTCCCAAGCTGACATCACACAACTTGTTGCAGAAAAAAGGACGCGTGTGGGCTCCATATCACTTGGCAGGCCTGACGTGTGCGACCTCCTCTGACGGGAGTAGGTCACCCTTCACGTGACTTTCCCACGTCAGCCCTTCATCTCCCTGGGCATAACATTATACAATGTATAAAATTTTCCTTCTTTAACCGTTGATCCCTTTATGTAACAATGCAAAAGAACCGAAAATAAGATTTATAAGATTCATGCAAGTGAGGAGGTAATAAAATTGGAGTTAACGAGATTGTTTCCTTTGTGAACCGATTGTAACAAATTAGAGTGATATATGAGCCTTCAAACAGCAAACTACACAAGAACTCTCCAAGAACATTCGGCTAAGCTTTAACCTCCCTTACGGAAATTCGGCCAAACAAGTACTTAAAACACTTCAATTCCACAAAATAAGTAACAAATGCTAATACTCTCAAGGCCTAAATGACGCACCACCAGCCAAGGAATTCCACCACCAACCTTTAGCAAAGATTGGATAAAGGATGCAAGAAAACTCTCTCAAGAGCTGAATTCATTAATCAAAGTCCAACTATTACAAAGGGAAAATTCGGTCTCTTATAAGAGACCTTACAAGTTGCCCTAGCAACATTTAATCTACGCCATCCATGTGGCACAAAAGAAAAGCAAATATCAATCAAGACCTTACATGTGGCGGTCAAGAGAGATTTTGTAGTTCAAACTAATTCAAACTTACAAAGGAATAGGCAAAAACAATTACATAGAAGGGCAATACTACATATACAAAGAACTATACAAAGATTTCTTGTACAAAATTATGTGTCAGAAGATTAATAAAAGACTGAATATGATGAGTTTGACTTTCTGTATTCACTCTTCCATTCATCTTCTGTCACCTCACTTTGTACAAATAGTCTTTATAAATTTCTTTGTACGTTTAACATTATTGTACATAGAAATAACCTTAAACAAAATCATAGGAAAAGTCAAAACCATGTGACTTGCTATTTCGGAACCGAACAAGCAACCGCCCAAATCTTACACCCTTGTTTTTGCCAAATTGGGTATGAGGTGTGGCAGCCCATGTTTCCTTGTTCCCCTTGTGGTCAATGCTTCCCACATGTCCTTTTGAATATTCCTTGATGCTTTAGTCAATTTTGGGGGGAATAATCCCAAATAATTAAACTAACCCAAATAAAGGAATTGGACTCAATTGATGGATTGGATTTACCTTGGGCCATTGGAATCCACTTTGCACTTGCTTACTTCCTTGGGCCATATTCATCAAGTGTTTTGTCTCCTTTGGTCGAACCTTAAAAAAAAAAAAAAAAAAAAAAATATATCAAATAGCATTTAGAGAATGTTTGTGATAATATTGAATGCGATTTTGATAAGAAGTCCAACTATTAGAGTTTCAACAAAAATCAGTTATAGAAATAACCAAAACAGAATAGTCAAAATGGCAGCTTACAACATTATTAAACATAATACTATACATATAATATTTTTATACAACGTTTCTCATACAATATTATATAGTAAAAAATGATTGGATGAAAAATTATTTTTAATTAAAACATTTCACAGCCCAAAAAACTCAAACACAAGCGACACTAACACTACACTAACCATTGTCTAACACATATAATTAACTAGTAGTCTAGCAACATAATCCAATTCTTGAATAGAATAGCGAACCGCCAAGCATAGGCCCCAGATATAAGTTGCTGAAGGCAACATAAAGTAAGCATTGTCCAAGAAGCATTGAACTACTTTACAAAATACCATATACAAAGTTCCAATAAGATTTGTATTGAACTCAAATATAATTATTAGGCATTAACCTATGAGCTTAATTTTTTAGATAGAATGACAACTTAACATAATTACAAGACCAAAGATTACAAGTTTAAATCCTCACATTTCAAATTGATAAGAAAAAAATGAGTATCAAAACCAAATGTCTAAAGTTCGAAATTTCATTTGAAAGGGTCTATCGGAGTAAAATGCCTTGATTTTCCTAGGGAGGGTTTCCTACAAAGCAACAAGCTGTTGCACTAAATTTGCACATTCTGCAACCTGCTCTTGACAATTACAAGCAACTGCTAGATTTCACCAACAGTTGTACTTGATATCCTTTTGAAGACTTAACATACAGTCTACTCATAGATAATATTTTTTCTGTATCATCCCATTAATGCCTCCAACGCCAAGGGTTTCTTAAATATTTACCATATCAAGACTGTTTACTCACGAGCCGGATCGACTCAGCTCAAGTCTAGCTCATTAACGACTCGACTTGGCTCGATTCGTGAGAGGAAACGAGCTGAGTTCTAGCCTGACTAGGCTCGGCTCAAATTCATGGGGGCATTTTAGGGGTTTTTCAAATTATGGGGGATTAAACAAAAGTTTTAAAGAAAAAGGTTTGCAAAAATGACAATGGTCCCCCCAATTTTGAAATCCCTAAAAATGTGACTCTACCACTGTTTGCCGTAAAACCAAAACGAGTAAAGAATTTCAGCCAACTTTTCAGTTGCCTTCGGTGTCTTAATGCTAGCTTTACTCTCCTTTCTTACTCTTTTCTCTTACTCATGTGGTAGGTAGGTGTAAGAAGAGAGAGAAGGGAGTAAGAACAGAGATCAACATGAATGAGCAAGAGAAATGAGTAAGAAGGGGAAGTAAAACTAGCATTATTCTAAAAGAAATGACATTTGTAAAGCTGCTATGAGTAATTTGCACGAAACAAGTCATTGGAATGTGAGCCTGCATTAGTTTCAAGCCAAACAGGACAATATAATAGAGGCATTTTATTGACTTCCAATTTTTTTCTACATGCATGCAAACGACAAAGGGTATTTTGAATTCGAAACATGGACCCAATGTATTTATATTTTATACACTTCATTTTTTGGCTTCTTCAGCGATCACACATCACATGCGATGTTGCTTGTGAAAGTGTCACTCGTCAATAATGAGGTCAGAGATTATTTATTCTATGATTATTGTGTGATGTCATATTACCAAGTGAATAATAAACGATTGAAGAGAAAGCATATAAATACCACAATTGTATATATCGAAGTACAAAGTCATGAAGCTCAATGTTAAACCAACCGTCCAACACAAGCCATACACTTTATTTTCTCTGAACCAGTACAAAAAAAATTGAAATCTGTTATTAAAAAAAAAAAAAAATTGCTTTTTTTTACCAGCTCGCGAGCTACGCTTGAATTTCCCTCCTCCCTTCAAGAGCCGAGCTGAGCCAAAAAATCAGAGGCTCGGTTCAGCTTAGCTCAAACTCGATTCTCCCTCCCATTTCACGAGCCGAGCTCATTAAGCCAAAAACTCAGCTTAGCTCGACTTGAAAACAGCCCTGTCCATATTTACCATTGTTTGAAAGATAGAAATACCCATAAAATCATGTATATTAACTTAATTGCTCTCAATAAATAATAACAAAAGCAAAAATAGTTGGATGCACTAGACTAATGAGTTTATCACAATTTAGCTCGACGTAGTATGTTATAATTAAACTATTAAATACTAAACTATCGAGTCTAGTATAATCTAACATGTGGCATAAGAGTTAATAACCATTGTCATTTCATCATCTTTCTTGTTTCTTAATTGCACAGCTTTGGCTTATGCTTCAGAGTGGCCATTTTATTAAGCAGTTTTTCTCACATTGATGAAATGTTATTTCAGTCATGGAGATGTGAGAGGGAGAGGCCTCATGATGGGGGTAAAATTAGTAACTGGCAGGAATGAAGCCGAAACTGCAGTCTTGTTTGAGAAACTCCGAGGTATAATTAACTCTCCTCCTAAGAGAAGAACTCTTAATCTCTCAATTTTTCTTAACCTCATTCCGGGTAGGATCAATTGTTTGTGATAATCAGTACCCATACTAAAAGAAAACAAACCAATTAAGCAAACACATCACAAGAAACAAAAGCAGCCTCAGAAGGCAAAAACATCAGGAAAACCCCAGAATAAATCTGCAGTGTTTCACATAGAAGAGAATAACCAAATAATATTAGTTTAACCATGTTGAAGCTCAACAGACAAAGCCTCTGGCAGTAACGATCACCTAGCAGTAGCCTTCATCTAACGTATCTAATTAGACTGTATTCTGCCATAATAACAAGATTCCAAGAAGAAAACCCAGAAAAAAAAAAATTACAAAATGACAGCCATCTGAATGTATATGTCCACGCCCCAAGTTACTTGCCAGAGTCAATCCAAGCCTGAAAGCAAACTGAATAGCATAAAAAAGGGGCACTTCAATAAGTCAGGAATAAAGAACTGCAGAACACAGGGCAGGAATACAGAGGGCAATATGAAGTGAGCCTTATCCAGAAACCATTTAACTATAATGCAGGACACTACCACCCACAACTATAAGTTCAAAGATTTGACATATCCTGAAACAAGAAACCCTAGAAATGATGGAGTACATTTCCTCTGGAGGGTTTCCTCTGTGCTGAATTTGCACAACCATCAGCCATCATTCTACCATGGGAGGGACATGAGGACATAAAAGGGAATCCTATCAACTTGTTCCAACGTACTATAATAAGCTCATGAGTTTGGACTTACATCACCTTTTCTGTAAGAAGACTCCAACCTCCAAGTTTCACTCAGTGTGAATCCTATGAAATGTACTGTAAAATACAACAAAATTTTACATCAATAATAAAAACAAAAACATAGTCCTATGTTATTTCTACATGGGAGTAAATAATGCAAGATCATTTTCCATGCATTATGACTTGAGTTCATTGTATAATCATTTTTTAAAAATAAAAAGTCATAATCATGTGAGATTTATTAATTATGCCTCCCCATTTTTTCTTAATTATTAATAACAATTAGGTGATTTACGTGGGTTATAAACCAATCTAAAAATATAGGAAATGTTTAATGCTTCACCTATAAATCATATTAGAAGCCACATGGAAATAATTTAGGAATAACAATAAGCAACTATTAAATGATAATTTTTAAAAGGTTTAACATGTCGAAAATAAAAAACGACTTTTTTTTTTTTTTTTTTTTGGTGGCAGTATGAAAAAAATTAATATATTAAAAAACAAGATAACACCTAGTCAAGGGAACGTAATGAGTCTTACTCCTAATTATATCTACCAAACATGAATTAAAACAAAAAATGCGTGGCAAAGAGTAATACATAGCTGCAGATAAATAGGCTTAATAGAGTAAGAGAAGTATCCAACACCACTAAAAAGAGTTGAATAGAAGATTTAACAAGTAATGATTTCATAAAATAAATAAATTAAATTCAATGTTTGAGTCCACTTACCTAATTGTAGAAGAAAGAATGCATAGCAATGAGAATGATTCTTACTAGTTATCAGCATAAACGTTAAGGCACCAAAAGTCCATACAAAACAAGGCTTGAGAAAATATATATATGTAATAAGTTTTATTTTTTTTATTTCTGACATTTAATTTAATGCAACTTACTAGGGGATTGCCACTTGTTGCTTGTATAATTCTGAATGTGGGGAACATCTATCTAAAGTTTCACTTAGTCTCTTGTAATCATCTATTTTTCTCTGTCTCGGGCAGAAACCTAGACAGCAGCTCAAACAGTCATCAACAGAGCAATTAATAGCGTTCAATATGTGGTCTCTGTACACTATTGCATCTCTTCTAAAATCATTATCTTTGGTGTACAACAACTTCACTCCACACTTTTTCACCTTGTGGAACTGTATGTTTTTCCTCCTTGAATGCGCAAAAAAAAAAAAAAAAAAAAAAAAAAAAAACACTGAATGTGCCCCTCACTATTCAAACTGAGTGTAAGCAATTCAAAGGACATGATATTGTAATCATATCTTACACATACATGATCTTCTCATTAACAAAAGAAGGCTAAACTAAAACAACAAATAATTGAGTAATGACTTTATATTCCACTATATGATAGCTACTTTCATTTTTTCCCCCCCTACAAGTTACCTTGCCGCCTTCTGTTTTATTGCTTTCATTTTTGTTCGCATTAACAAAACATAGCCAGCCTAAAACTTTAAAAACTCTCAATCATAATTCATAAGGGTTAGGTGAGAAAAACTTAAATATGTTACTTAAAACTATCCATACAATTGATCCTTATCATCCATTGATCTTCTTTGAAAATTCAATTTGCCACTCCCTCAACCACCCACCCTGCACCCATGTTCCAGGCCATCAAAAATTCATATTGTCTCTATCATCTGGGGGTTAATTGATCTTTCTTCAAAAATTCAATTTGCCATAATCCTATTATTTTATTTTATAATATGATTAGTTGGCTAATCATGTTCTTATGAATCGAATCTTGGACAGATTCATAAAGAGAATTCACATGGCAAAAACATTACTAGTTAATTGAAATATTCAAAATCTCATCACAAGATGAAATAAATCTGAAAGCCTATTGAATCACCATTTTTAAAACAAAACAGAGTTTATTTAACATCTTCTAATAAATTGACCGACCAGTCAGGATTTGAAAAACTCTAAAACTGAGGAAGATAAAACTATAATCCTTATCATCTGCTTGACTTCAAGTGTGATTTTTACTTAAAAAAGTATTGATCCCTAGTATAGTTCCTCGCTAGCAATTGATTTTACGAGGCCTATTCATGTAACTACCATATTCATTCATTGATTTATCTTTGTGGATTTCAAAAAATGGGTCGGACTCAGTGAAAATATTTACTAAAAATTAAGAATTATACAGTGCGTATTCAACATTCACAACAAAGAAAAATCAATTAAAAAAAAAAAACAAATTAAATAAAGAATTAATCGATCAAAGGCAATAACAGTAAATAATGGGGTTTTACATACCAAGTCCTCTTCTTCACTATGGCTCTTTATCACAGATTGCGCATTAGGATTTGATAATGCGATAAACAACCAAATTTGGCGCGGAAGTACAGTGCCTAAACCCTATTTCCCGTGCTTTTCATTGCCTTCTCTCTCGCTACTAAACGACACACGAGAGCCGTCGGATTAGAGCAAAAATTGAGATGCCACCTCACTGGTTCTAACGAAGAGAAGCTTTAAAAGCAGCAGAAGTTCATCCATCACCTGACCATGTCACGTGTGCATCACGTGTTACGATGTGTTAAATAACATTTTAGTCTCCCAGATTTGGTGAACATTTAATAGGTCCTAAGGTGCTAAGAAGTGATACACTTTTATTTAAGAATTTATTGAATTTAATTTGGAGCAAATGTTTTTTATTTGAAGCACGTTCTCAATTTTATTGATTGAAAGAGATTTAATTGATGACTAAAATATCCTTAGTCATTTATTATTAATTTAATATATCATTGTAAAAAGTAATCACAAAAAATATAATATTTAGTTGATTTAATTTAATGTAAATAAATATATTATTGATTTAGTTGATAATAATGATATTATAATTATAAGAACATATATACATATAATTAAAATAAATTATAATTTAAATGCAAATCTTTTCAAAATAATTTAAAGTTTTATGTATTATAATTTTATTTAAATTAGTTACGACTAATCCATTGGATAAATTGGTCGACGACACTGCCCACTTTGAGAAGATCTTTGGCCAATCTACCTAATGGAGCAGTCAGAGTGGCCACAACTTTCAACTACTATGACTAATCCATTGGATAAATTGGTCGACGATCTACCCAATGGAGTGGGCAGTGTTGCTAGACACACCTTTGGCGATGGCGTCCAGCCACCACTGATGGCTAACATCTGACAAGCATCTTACTGATCAATATTAACAAGAGCAAAAATCAATCAAAAATAAATAAAGAATTAATTGATTAAGGCAATAATAGTAAAATGGGTTTTACATACCGAGTCTTCACCCTGGCTCTTTCTCTCAGATTAGGCATGTGAAAAAATTGAACAAATGGAGATTCATGGCTTGATAATGTTTGTGATAATTAATAGCAGGGATTTGTTACAATAGATTGCTGTAACAACACATCAACATGAAAATTAAAGCAATGCAAAACAAGACAAACCAAATATAATGACCAATATAAATTGCAGAAAGCTAGCTTCAGAAGGCAACAAAAAACTAAGCTTTACCTTGAAACCATTGAACTATTATGCAGGACACCACCACAACTGTACAGAATGCCATAGAGAGTTCCAAGATTTGGCATATCTTCAAGATCAGGCAAACAAGAAACCCCATAAATGATGGAGTGTAAAGCCTTGAATTTCCTCTTGGAAGGTTTCCTACCAAAGCAACAGGAAACATGCTGTGCAGAATTTGCACAAGTCATTTTTACATTTTAATAGTGAAGGGATATGGGGATGTAAAAGGGAATCCTATCAACTTGTTCCAACCTACTATAATAAGCTCATGGGTCTGAACTTAAGTCACCTTTTATGTAAGAAGATTTCAACTTCCAAGTTTCACCTTTTAGGATCCGCAAGCCTGCGTCAGTTCCATTCAGTATAAAACATCCGGATAACTGTAAAATACAATCAACATTTTACATCAATAATAACAATAAAAACAATAATTGGCATAGCCCTACATTATTTCTGCAAGTAAAAAACGATGCAAGATCATTCCCTGCATTATGACTTGGAGATCATTGTATAATCACTTTCTTTTTTGAACAAAAGTCATATTTACATGAAATTTATTAATTAGGCTTCTCCCAAGTTAAAAATATTAAAATAACAATTGGGTAATTTTCATGGAGCTTTATTCAAAATCCTGATAAACCAATTAAATCATATGGGACATGTTTAGTTCTCCACCCATGAATCATATAGGCAGATAACAAGATTAAAACGCATAATCAAAACTAAAAATGCATGGCTAAAAGTAATATATATTCATAGATAACAAAGTTTAATAGAGTATGAGACGCATCCAACGCTGGAAAGAGTTGTTACAAGATTTAACAATTTTTTGAGGGCATAACTATGAGAAAGCTACTTACTGATTACCCGCATATGCGTTGAGTCCATACAAACCATACAAAACAAGGCTTGAGAAAATAAATATGTAATAACTTTCTTTTATTAAGTTTTTGGTTAATTTAATCCAACTTACCATGCCTGTTTCATTCCTCGCCTGAGCATTTCTGAATGTCCGGACCAGGTATCAAAAATTCCGAGAGTGTCCATTACTAGTCTCCCTAATGGAAAATAGCTATCAGCAGACCAATTTATAGGTTTCAGTCTCTGGTCTCTGTCCACTTTTGCATCTGTTCCTATATAATTATCTTCGGGTACAACAATCTGACTCCAGACTTTTTCACCTCCCTTAAATCAATGCTATTCTCACTTCTATGCTCAACACAGAACACAATGTAGCCCTCACTATTCAAACTGAGTGTAAGCCATTCAATGGACATGATACCATAATCATATCCAACGAATACATGATCGGATTCAATAACCTCATGCCCATTATATTCAAACAAATCCCCAGAGGAAACGATCTCCTCATTAACAAGCAAACAAAATCTAACTTTGAAAGCTCCAAGCTCTTGATAGTCTCGAAAAGATGCAACGGCACACAAAGTGAAACCAACGAAGTTATCATTGAGCCAACCTGCTGGAAGCTCTATCAGACATCCAGTAGTTTTAAAGCTAAACCACTCTGGAATTTTGCTTCCAGGGTAACATATACAAGCCCTTGGTGGGTACATCAGTGACCGCAAGTAGCCTCTCTTTACCTGTACCAAGCAAATAATCAACTTCTAATATTCTTAATTTTTACAGCATCCCTTTAAGGTTTGCTTTAATACTCATTAGGTCCTTGTAATTTAAAAAATATATATAAAGACATTCTTACCTAAATTTTGTGAGAACCAAGCTTAAATACCACTAGATTCATTTGTAAAACATCATTTCAGTTCAATGATGATAAATCCAATGGTATTGAAGCATGGTCCTCATAAAATTTAAATAAAAACGTCCTTATTAGAAAATTACTATATATATATATACATATATAATGTGTGCATTATGGGTGTGTTTACTGATGAGGACTATATAGTATAGAACAAGTGGGACTACGTTAATTGACTTGTCTTGTGTTTGGCTTAATTTTTATAAGGATTGCACCGACAACTTTCAAATTGACCTGCCCTTCCCACAGGTCCATTTACTGCGGTCAGTGCAACAACTTGTTAATTTGGAGCAAATGGTTTTTACCATTATTTTAAAACCCGGATCGGAGGGCAAATCGTTTTGTTGTCTGGGTCACGGGTCTGGACTGATGATGTCAGCAATATTTTATTTTTTAAAAATTACATATTAACCCCTTAAATTTCAATATATTACAAAAATTCTCCTAAAAAAGTTCAAATTAGTGCCTAAAATTTTTATTTATTCCAAAAATGGCCCAATAAAATTACCAATTAATCCCTAAACTTTTGATATATCTCCAAAATACTCCTATAAAATTACAAAGTAACCCTCATAATTTTAAAATATTTTTAAAACCCCCCTGAGCCTAAACCGGACCAGAGAAGCTGCCGGTTCCCAGTCCAACCGGTCCGGTTTTTAAAACAGAGGTTTTTACCTCAAGCATGTTTTTATTTTTGTTGCTTAAAAGAGATGTGATAGATGAATAAAATATTTTTAATAATTTATTATTTTATGAATATAATTTATCATTATTAAAAGCAATCACAAAAATATAATATTTACTT